TAAGATAAAGAATCGCGCGACAACTGTTTGAGGAGGGGGTATTCGATAAACTCATTTCCGTGTTTAAAACTGTTTGATGAAAATGGAATTAACAGACATATCTCGTGACAGATGATGGAATGGTATTTCACGTGTGGTTGACGTATGTAATGACCGGCCGCGCCTTCACAATGGTTCCAGTTAACAAATATAACGGTAAAACGCAATATTTTCAAACTGCAGATTGTTCTCCCAGATGGTTTCATCAACAAGGATTTCAGTCATTCATCAGATTAGTTCTCCCTGTCTGTACCCTGAAGCGTATTTATGATCGGTTTCAAATCAAACATTTAAGATAACATTTTGTCTCCACGTTTCAGGTTACGAGCGATTTATAAATGACGTTATTATGTCTGGGACAATGTTTCATTACTGAGATAGTTAAAACGAAAAAGGTTTCGTTAATATTATACAGTTACACAATAGTTAGACGATGAAATTGACTACTTCTCAAAAGTCTATTTCCTTCAAGAAACTTTTTCCATATTTCATTTACAAGGCATCCATTATAATGCCTAAACAATTCCTGGTTGTTATGAATTGGTGAAATGATTTTATATGCTGCATTGCCGGTGCTCCATGTTCTTACATCCATTGTGGACAAGGAAAACGAAGCATCACATGTGGCGAAATGTGTTCGTGCATATGAAACATGATAGGTCTTTGATAATTTTTCAATAAAGGAATATTGTATATTTTGTATTCACATAATTTATATTTCTTTGTAAGGTTTGCAAAATAATGTTCACTGTCATCAAAACAAGCCTGACAAAGACACAAACAGACCCACCGACGTACCGTTCAGTCGTCGATGTAGCGGCTGTTTACTGCGCAGAGTTACGTCCCTTGGGCACGCCAGAAGTCGCTGCATGATTATATTTCTGGGTTTGTTAATACAATATCCGTGCACTTTGTTTTCACGTAGGACTTTCTTCCAACGGCGAGTTTAGACGTCCAGCTATAACAGGAATACTTACAGGGCCTGCAAGTCTCGCGGGGCGCTACATCCGGTACTAAGCTTGTTCCCGGCTCCCTTTGCGCGCGCAAACTAACAATATGCGAGACGGGACCCAGCTTACTTCCGGTACCAGATTTCCGGTGACAGGCGTATATTAAAAAATCATTACTGGTTACTACTTCCGGGCTCTATTAAAGCTGCGTGAAACATGTGGCTGGAGTTTTCAGCGTTTTAGTATACTGTTTCACGTTTGGTTTTGCGTATTATTTGCAATTCAAGTTGTACTTGCAAGTTGGTTTTTCAATGTACACCCTATCGCATTTCCATGTTATTTCAAACAAATTTGAGAGATGTTACGAATGCGAAAAACAGAACATGGACCGACAGGACACATCAAGCAAAAGCTCATTATATTACTACCTTAATTGATGGTTTTGAATGTATGAGTGAGTGTTCCTGAATTGAGCCAGTATTTTCTTGAAAAGTATTTATAATTTGCAAATACGCCATAAACATCACATCGCAAAAACGTCTTTTTTACACTCTCACGTGCTATTTCATGATATATTACACCACTGAAGGGATGAGAGTGTTTAAAAATCCTATTCTCGGCTACCGTAGGGGCTTTCAATATGATGAATGTATGAATTTGTTACGAGCTTGGCACCAACACGATCATCACCTCCTTGACAAACACGGGCACATTTCATTGAGTGTCACTTGCAATCGGAGCAATCTTTTATCAACTAGCAAAATGCATTCACATGTTAATACTACCCAACACTTGGGCTCAGATTGGTCTGTGCGTCGGTCGTTGCTGTGCCACACAAGACACCGTGTATCATGTCATCCAGACTTTATTAGATGCTCATTTGAGTGTATGGACTCTACTGGGTCGGCTTGTCATGTGTCACTGACGGCCTGCGAATACTGGTATAAGTGTTTACCGAATTATACATTGATGGCCTGCAGAATACTCTACCTCATACTCTACTGATAGTTGATCACTTTGCCACAAAACGTTATACAGAAAAGGTCCGAGGCTGCAATGGTATCAACTGTTTATCATCTAATAGAGGGTGTTATCGGCGCAATAAAGCAGTCTGATAAACTTGGTATCCAAATATGATAACTATGATAATTACGTCAATCCACGAACTACTTTCTCAAAACTTTCTCAAAACTTTCTCAAAACGCCAAAGGCTCTCATAATACAATTGCTATTCCTAATATATGATATTATTGATACGGAAACAAACGAGGTTAATAATCTCTATAGTTAGAGATGAACTACTTATGACGAGAGTACCAAGAACACTCACGCATACACCCAAAGCCATCAAGGAATGTAGTAATATAAAGAGTTTCTGCTTGATGTGTCCTGTCGGTCCATGTTCTGTTTTTCGCATTCGTAACATCTCTCAAATTTGTTTGAAATAACATGAAAATGCGATAGGGTGCATACTGAAAAACAATAACTTGCAAGTAAAACTTGAATAGCAAATGATACGCAAAACCAAACATGAAACAGTATACTAAAACACCAAAAAGTCCAGTCACCGTACTTGATTCCCATTTATCTTCGGGAGTGTTTAATGTTCACTTTTCTGTGTTTAGCGAGACTGTTATTTTCAGGCCGTTAGTATGCTCGACATGGCGTTATTACATTTCTTTTCATCAAGTGTCTTCATTTTACTTTCATGAATTAAATATGAACCTTTCCTCGTTTATCGCTTCAAGTCTATAACATCCATGCATCGACTTGGTGATTTCCTTGCGAAAGTGAAAAGAACGCACACTGCCCGGAATGATTTCAGACGGAAGTCCACATATGTTGCAACATAACAAAACCGCTATTATACTCCTAATGTCTACCGCAGAATTACGCCAACCTCCCTGTCCTGTCCCCGTCCTTACCCCTATGTCCGCTCCAACTTCCCTGTCCTGTACCCGTCCTTACCCCTATGTCCGCTCCAACATCCCTGCCCAGTACCCGTCCTTACCATATGTCCGCTCCAACTTCCCTGTCCTGTACCCGTCCTTACCCCTATGTCCGCTCCAACATCCCTGCCCAGTACCCGTCCTTACCATATGTCCGCTCCAACGTCCCTGTCCTGTACCCGTCCTTACCCCTATGTCCGCGCCAACCTCCCTATCCTGTACCCGTCGATACCCCTATGTCCGCGACAGCCTCACTATCCTGTACCCGTCGATACCCCTAGGTCCGTGCCAACCTCCCTTTCCTGTACCCGTCGATACCCCTATGTCCGCACCAACCTCCCTATCCTGTACCCTTCGATACCCCTATTTCCGCGTCAGCCTCCCTATCCTGTACCCGTCGATACCCCTAGGTCCGTGCCAACCTCCCTATCCTTACCCGTCGATATCCCTATGTCCGCGCCAACCTCCCTATCCTGTACCCGTCGATATCCCTATTTCAGCGCCAACCTCCCTGTCCTGTACCCATCCTTACCATATGTCCACGCCAAATTCCCTGTCCTGCATCCGTCCTTATCCTATGTCCGTGCCAATCTCTATGTCTTGTACCCGTCCTTACCCCTATGTCCGCGCCGACCTCCCTATCATGTACCCGTCCTTACCCCTATGTCCGCGTCAACATCCCTGTCTTGTACCCGTCCTTACCCCTATGTCCGCGCCAACCTCCCCGTCCTGTACCTGTCCTTACCCCTATGTCCGTGCCAACCTCCCTGTCCTGTACCCGTCCTTACCTTTATATCCGCGCCAACCTCCCCGTCCTGTACCTGTCCTTACCCCTATGTCCGCGCCAACCTCCCCGTCCTGTACCTGTCCTTACCCCTATGTCCGCGCCAACCTCCCCGTCCTGTACCCGTCCTTACCCCTATGTCCGCGCCAACCTCCCTTTCCTGTACCTATCGATACCCCTATGTCCGCGACAGCCTCCCTTTCCTGTACCCGTCGATACCCCTATGTCCGCGACAGCCTCCCTTTCCTGTACCCGTCGATACCCCTATGTCCGTGCCAACCTCCCTATCCTGTACCCGTCGATACCCCTATGTCCGTGCCAACCTCCCTGTCCTGTACCCGTCCTTACCCCTAGGTCCCCGCCAACTTCCCTGTCTTGTACCCGTCCCCAACCCTATGTCCGCGCCAATCTCTCTGTCTTGTACCCGTCCTTACCCCTATGTCCGCGCCACCCTCCCTGTCTTGTACCCATCCTTACCCCTATGTCCCCGCCACCCACCCTATCCTGTACCCGTCCCCAACTCTATGTCCGCGCCAATCTCTCTGTCTTGTACCCGTCCCCAACCCTATGTCCGCGCCAATCTCCCTGTCCTGTACCTGTCCCCAACCCTATGTCCGCGCCAATCTCTGTCCCTATGTCCTGTCCCCAACCCTATGTCTCTCGCCAATCTCTGTCTTGTACCTGTCCTTACCCCTATGTCCGCGCCACCCTCCCTGTCTTGTACCTGTACCCCTATGTCCCCACCCCCTATGTCCCCGTCCCCAACTCTATGTCACCGCTAATCTCCTGTCTTGTACCCGTCCCCAACTCTATGTCCGCGCCAATCTCTCTGTCTTGTACCCGTCCCCAACCCTATGTCCGCGCCAATCTCTCTGTCTTGTACCCGTCCCAACCCTATGTCCCCGCCAATCTCTGTCTTGTACCCATCCTTACCCCTATGTCCCCGCCACCCTCCCTGTCCTGTACCCGTCCCCAACTCTATGTCCCCGCCAATCTCTCTGTCTTGTACCCGTCCTTACTCTATGTCCCCAATCACACCTCCCTGTCTTGTACCCGTCCCCAACTCTATGTCCGCGCCAATCTCCCTGTCTTGTACCCGTCCCCAACTCTATGTCCGCGCCAATCTCTCTGTCTTGTACCCGTCCCCAACCCTATGCCCCTGCCAACTTCCCTGTCTTGTACCCGTCCTTACCCCTAGGTCCCCGCCAACCTCCCTGTCCTGTACCCGTCCTTACCCCTATGTCCCCGCCAATCTCCCTGTCATGTACCCATCCTTACCCCTATGTCCGTTCAGCTTGATACAGTGTGTTCCTTCGAAGAAGCCATACATGCAGCGCCTCTCTATCAGATGGAAGGTCTTGCGAGTATGGTTGAACGGGTCTTCACAGTCACGATTGGACCGGTCCACAGACGTGCAGACATAGCAGTCAATGGCCAATACTGAAACAGACAAAAGCACATATATAATGTCAAATCTTCACAAAGCAAGATACTGTATTTTAATTAGATTGGGGACAAAGTTTCAAAGCTGATTGTCCACATAGTGTGATTGTCTACATAGACAGGATCCGTGAAGATTCGGGTTAGAATTGGTCTCCAGCAACCCATGATTCTCGTAGGTGGGATCGGGTGGTTAGGCTCGCTAACTTGGTTGACACATGTCATCGTATCCCAGTTGTGTAGATTGATGCTCATGCTGTTGATCACTGGATTGTCTGGTCCTGACTCGATTATTTACAGACCGTCACCATATAGCTGGAATATTGCTGAGTGCGGCGTAAAACAAGAAACAAACTAAACATCAGCAGGTTATGTATGGTTTTCGGTATAATAGCGACTTTGTAAACGTTGGTTCAATTGCAAGGACATTAGTTCAAGGACGAGCGTAACCAAACGTTGGTTCAATTGCAAGGACGTTAGTTCAAGGACGAGCGTAACCAAACGTTGGTTCAATTGCAAGGACGTTAGTTCAAGGACGAGCGTAACCAAACGTTGGTTCAATTGCAAGGACGTTAGTTCAAGGACGAGCGTAACCAAACGTTGGTGCAAACAAGACTTCGGGTAACCCTACAGCAGACGATTGAAGAATTTCCTTCATATTTTGTTCCAATTGAATATTTTTTTCTTTTTCTGAAGAGCAAGCACTCTTTCCACTCAACAAATTAATCTTGCAGTATTATCACCGCCTCCTATAATGATATTGGAGGTGTAACAACCTCTTTGTTTAATTCGATTTGGTTATCATCGCAGTAGGGTTGGGTTTCTGTTCCAATACAGGTCCTCATGGAGTTTGACTATTTTAACACGACAGCTTATATCTTTCAAACTAAACAAAGGAGGGTGTTTTTCTGAATCCCAAGTCGTGGCACATGCTGTTTTCAACGAGCCATCACACAAACATGACAATCAGAGGAAACTGGGAGATGCGAGGCTCCCTGACCAACAACATTTAAAATATGCGAGCATGTTAGCTCGGGTTCATTATTTCTTCTACTAATGAAAATGAGCAGTCGAACATCGGAGACAGTATTTGAACGCATACATACATGGCACCGGGATCACGCTTAAATATTTAAACGCACATCGATCGCATCTTAAGAAAATTGCAAATAATAGTGTTTTATAGTGGCATAGGGTTCAGTTCTAATAATGCACCAACACAACATATCAATTTATTGAGTAAAAGCTGGACATTGTTCTTAATAACAACCATCTCAAAAGTCAACATCTTCTGTGATGCATGGTTATAGATCTGTTGGGTGGTGCGGTGACATATCGACTTGTGTCTGCATCAGCATTTCCTACAGTCATATCCTTTACAAGTACTGCAGAGATGGTCCTACATAGACAGGACAATACACCTAGGTACATTCTGTTGGTAGCAACCGTTCAGCGACAGAAGCATATCCTACAATACAGTCATATCCTTTACAAGTACTGCAGAGTTGGTCCTACATAAACAGGACAGTACACCTAGGTACATTCTGTTGGTAGCAACCGTTCAGCGACAGAAGCATATCCTACAATACAGTCATATCCTTTACAAGTACTGCAGAGATGGCCCTACATAGACAGGACAATACACCTAGATACATTCTGTTGGTAGCAACCGTTCAGCGACAGAAGCATATCCTACAATACAGTCATATCCTTTACAAGTACTGCAGAGATGGCCCTACATAGACAGGACAATACACCTAGGTACATTCTGTTGGTAGCAACCGTTCAGCGACAGAAGCATATCCTACAATACAGTCATATCCTTTACAAGTACTGCAGAGATGGCCCTACATAGACAGGACAATACACCTAGGTACATTCTGTTGGTAGCAACCGTTCAGCGACAGAAGCACCATTACCTGCGTACATAAAACCGACGATTTCTCCATACGTATACAAAAAGTAAAGACTCAGTGTCAGTGAAAACGCCCTCGTGGTATGGATGGAATATTGTTGGCTACATTGACACCTTACATTGAATAGAAGCTAGACTTTCCTTTCATGGTTCGTACAGAAATGTCACAACCTAAAGAAATTACGCCGTTTGTCAAATTGAGTATTCCAGTACATCTACCAATCGTGAATAGTTTCATTTGACTGTCTCTTTGATAGTACAGACCAAACCTACTAATGTGTGAATCTTACATTAACTTATATTTTTAGATGTCCTTAACTTGACTGAGGGTGTAAACCTACTTGAACATGCCAGATGATGCCATCGTACTCAAAGTTGTTGTTCGGTAGAATATAGAACTGACGTGTGCTAAACCAGCTCCCATGGAATATACGTTGGATGTCTGACTATATGTGCTCAATGAGCTCTCTAGAATATGCGTTGGATGTCTGACTATATGTGCTTAACCAGCTCACTAGAATATACGTTGGATGCCTGACTTTATGTGTCTAACAAGCTCCCGAGCATATACCTTGGATGCATGACAATGCTTAACCAGCTCACAGAATATACGTTGGATGCCTGACTTTATGTGCCTAAGAGGCTCCCTAGAATATACGTTTGGATGCATGACTATATGTGCTTAACCAGCTCACTAGAATATACGTTGGATGCCTGACTTTATGTGCCTAACAAGTTCCCGAGCATATACCTTGGATGCATGACGTTATGCTTAACAAGCTCTCTAGAATATACGTTGGATGTCTGACTATATGTGCCTAACAAGCTCACTAGAATATACGTTGGATGCCTGACTTTATGTGCCTAACAAGCTCCCGAGCATATACCTTGGATGCATGACAATGCTTAACAAGCTCTCTAGAATATACGTTTGATGCCTGACTTTATGTGCCTAATAAGCTCTTTATGTGCCTAGCAGCTCCTAGAAGATACGTTTGATGCCTGACTTTATGTGCCTAACAAGCTCCCTAGAAGATACTAGAATATACGTTTGATGCCTGACTTTATGTGCCTAACAAGCTCCCTAGAAGCTCCCTAGAAGATACGTTTGATGCCTGACTTTATGTGCCTAACAAGCTCCTAGAATATACGTTTGATGCCTGACTTTATGTGCCTAACAAGCTCCCTAGAATATACGTTTGATGCCTGACTTTATGTGCCTAACAAGCTCCCTAGAAGATACGTTTGATGCCTGACTTTATGTGCCTAACAAGCTCCCTAGAAGATACGTTTGATGCCTGAGTGCCTAACAAGCTTAGAATATACGTTTGATGCCTGACTTTATGTGCCTAACAAGCTCCCTAGAATATACGTTTGATGCTAGAATATATGCGTTTATGATGCCTGACTTTGATGCCTGACTTTATGTGCCTAACATAGAATATACGTTTGATGCCTGACTTTATGTGCCTAACAAGCTCCCTAGAATATACGTTTGATGCCTGACTTTATGTGCCTAACAAGCTCCCTAGAATATACGTTTGATGCCTGACTTTATGTGCCTAACAAGCTCCCTAGAATATACGTTGGATGCCTGACTTTATGTGCTCTAACGTTTGATGCCTGAGCTCCCTACAAGCTCTAGAATATACGTTTGATGCCTGACTTTATGTGCTCCTAACACGTTTGATGCCTGACTCCTAGAATATACGTTGGATGCCTGACTTTATGTGCCTAACAAGCTCCCTAGAATATGTTTGATGCCTGACTTTATGTGCTTAACCAGCTCACTAGAATATACTTTTTATGCCTGACTTTATGTGCTTAACCAGCTCCCGAACATATACCTTGGATGCATGACAATGCTTAACAAGCTCTCTAGAATATATATTACATTGGGTGACTGACTGACTCCATAGAATATACGTCGGATGCCTGACTGTATGTGATAAATTACCTCCCTAAACATACGTTACATGATTGACTATATTTGGCAAATGAACTCCCTAAAACATACGTTAGATAACTGACTATATTTGGCAAATGAACTCACTAAAACATATGTTAGATAACTGACTATATTTGGCAAAGGAACTCCCTAAAACATACGTTAGATAACTGACTATATTTGGCAAATGAACTCACTAAAACATACATTAGATTACTGACTATATTTGGCAAATGAACTCACTAAAACGTACGTTAGATGACTGACTACATTTGGCAAATGAACTCCCTAAAACATACATTAGATAACTCACTATATTTGGCAAATGAACTCCCTAAAACGTACGTTAGATAACTGACTATATTTGGCAAATGAACTCCCTAAAACATACGTTAGATAACTGACTACATTTGGGAAATGAACTCCCTAAAACATACATTAGATAACTGACTATATTTGGCAAATGAACTCCCTAAAACATACATTAGATGACTGACTATATTTGGCAAATGAACTCCCTAAAACATACGTTAGATGACTGACTATATTTGGCAAATGAACTCCCTAAAACATACGTTAGATAACGGACTATATTTGGCAAAATGAACTCCCTAAAACGTACGTTAGATGAACTATCTTGGCAACTATATTTTGCAAATGAACTCCTAAAACATACGTTAGATAACTGACTATATTTGGCAAATGAACTCCCTAAAACATACGTTAGATGACTGACTATATTTTGGCAAATGAACTCCTAAAACATACGTTAGATAACTGACTATATTTGGCAAATGAACTCCCTAAAACGTACGTTAGATAACTGACTACATTTGGCAAATGAACTCCCTAAAACATACGTTAGATAACTGACTATATTTTGCAAATGAACTCCCTAAAACATACGTTAGATAACTGACTATATTTGGCAAATGAACTCCCTAAAACGTACGTTAGATAACTGACTACATTTGGAAAATGAACTCCCTAAAACATACATTAGATAACTGACTATATTTGGCAAATGAACTCCCTAAAACATACGTTAGATAACTGACTATATTTTGGCAAATGAACTCCCTAAAACATACGTTAGATAACTGACTATCTTTGCAAATGAACTCCCTAAAACATACG